GCTGCTTCTGACAGGTGGGAGAAGGCTTCCGTCGGCTTTCAGGGAGGCTGCCAGGGTGGGATCCCTGAGCTTGAGCGCCTTCCCTCAGGGCGGGGTGGCACCGAGCACCCAGGACTGGCCCAGGGGTCCAGGGAAAGCCCCCTCACCCCAGGTGGTCGCCAACCAGGAGGAGCAGAGCTCTGCCACCTGCCAGCTCTGGGGCCTCGGTGGTGCTCACCTGTGTGGGGGTGCTCACCTGCAGTGGGGGTCAGGGGTACTCTCGAATGGCAGCATGCGAGTTTCCGGGAGAATGTGTGTGAAGCTCAAACCCGGCCCGTAACCGGCCTTCTGGATGTGAGCTCCCCCTTTCCAACTGGCTTGGGTGGGCCTGGTGAATGCTGCACAGGTGACATGCACCCGGGCCCCAGCGGCAGCCTTTGGGCCTCCCTTGGGGGTTCTCTGAGCCCACCATGGGCGATCCCATGCCCCTCCCTTCTCCACCATTGCCCTTCCCTACCTTGGGGCCCCCTCAAGTGGATCCTCCTGGCCTCAGGGTTACTACATTCTGGGGCCTAAACCCTGCACTCCCCTGGACCCCCTGGCCAGGTTTAAGGATATCGACTTTTCAGCTAAAGAAAGCCCAATTTCGGGACCAGCAGGTAGTGTGATGGCTATGTCATCCCATGTAGTTCACCGCGGTTCGAGCCCCAGACCCAGTGGCTTAAACTCATGCTGGGCACGTGTGCGCCCAAGATCCTGAGAGGAGAATGGAGAAGGGATTGCGGCGTGACTGTTCCTCCCGGGGGGTGATTCCTTGCTTTCTGTCTTTCTGGCAAGCACACATGCCCTATAGAAAAAAATCTCTCCCCACCCCCCCAAAAAAAGTCCAATTTCTGTTGTCGCTTGCTTCCTAGGGCCCTAGAATCCCACTCCCCATTGCCTGGGCAACAGTGACAGGCCAGAGGCCAGGTCTTGCCTGCTGTCAGACGGGCACATGTCAGGGTCCACCTCCTGAGCTGGGCCATGTCTACCTCGGGACAGTGAGGTGTGGCTGTGGCCGGCAGCCTGACCCCCACCCTGGGTGGTGCGGTGCAGGGCCGCTCTGGGCCCACAGAGGCACCCAGTTGCTGCAGGAGGGCCTAGGCGTGGCCGTGCCCACCCCTCTGATGTTTCTGTTCCTTTTCCCATGTAGTTCACCGCGGTGCGAGCCCCAGACCCAGTGGCTTAAACTCATGCTGGGCACGTGTGCGCCCAAGATCCTGAGAGGAGAATGGAGAAGGGATTGCGGCGTGACTGTTCCTCCCGGGGGGTGATTCCTTGCTTTCTGTCTTTCTGGCAAGCACACATGCCCTATAGAAAAAAATCTCTCCCCACCCCCCCAAAAAAAGTCCAATTTCTGTTGTCGCTTGCTTCCTAGGGCCCTAGAATCCCACTCCCCATTGCCTGGGCAACAGTGACAGGCCAGAGGCCAGGTCTTGCCTGCTGTCAGACGGGCACATGTCAGGGTCCACCTCCTGAGCTGGGCCATGTCTACCTCGGGACAGTGAGGTGTGGCTGTGGCCGGCAGCCTGACCCCCACCCTGGGTGGTGCGGTGCAGGGCCGCTCTGGGCCCACAGAGGCACCCAGTTGCTGCAGGAGGGCCTAGGCGTGGCCGTGCCCACCCCTCTGATGTTTCTGTTCCTTTATATTTATTGGTCCAATTTTTTAACCTCTTGCCCATGTGGGAAGCCCTTGAGGGGCAAGGATCCAAAATAAAACGCTGATTAAAATGCATAAAACACGGCCCTCGGTGCTCACAGGAACAGCTGCCCAGTCAGCAGTGGGTGCCCCCAGACACCACCTTGCCTGCACGCCTAGAGCTCTGGGGTGGGGGCCTAGGGACCCCACCCGTGTGCAGCTACCTGGCTGGCATGCCAGCCTCTCTAGGCCTCAGTTCCCCCTTTTAGGACAACCAGGTGGAAAAGGCAGGGCTGCAGCAATTCAGAAGACCTCCCTCTCCACTAGACCTGTCTTGCCTCTGCGTCACCCAATGCCCTGGGGTCCCCGCTGCCAGGTCCTTGCACCAGCGTGGCTGTTTCCCGGCTTCTCATTGCTCAGGGGTCTGCACCTACACCTGCACCTGCGCGAGCTCACCGGTGTGCGCACGCGCCCTTCCACAGCGCTGCGTCCGGGTGTGCGCCGAGGCTGTGGCAGTGGTTCCCCCTTCTTGACTCGAGGGACCAGTTTCATGGAAGACGAGTTTTCCATGGACCGGAGGGCGGGGATGACTTCGGAACAATTCCAGAGCATTGTGTTTATTGTGCATTTTATTTCTGTTATCACTAATTGTCCAACTTACCACACAGAATCGGCCGGGCCCTGAGCTTGTTCTCCTGCCCTAGACAGTCCACCCCAGGGCTCCTGTGAGAGTCTAAGCCCACTGCTGGTCTGCCAGGGGGCTGAGCTCAGGCGGTAACGTGGGTGAAGGGTGTGGCTGGCCCGCCCGCCCAGCCTGGTTCCTCATGGTTGGGGACCCCCATGATTGGGGACTCCTAGTTGCGCATGACACACTGGGAGAGGCGCCAAGGGCTAAGGCTTTGCTGCAGGTTTGCCTCTCTGCTCGGGGCCCTAGGAAGCTCTCGCCTGTCCCTGGGCAGGGTGCTGCGGCATTCTCCCCGCGCCTCCTCTGTCAGCGTCTCGTCTAGCACCTGTAGCGTACCGTGTCAGTGGCCCGAGTCACTTGTGGAACGAGGCCTGCTCTCTACTAGTTACACAGTGTCACTACTCACAAGTGTCAGGTGGCTTCAGTGGGCGAGAGACGATGGCTTCACAGAGGAGGTGGGCTCCAGGGCGAGGCCGGGAAAGGTTCAAGGGGAGATGGGTTAGAGGCAGCCGTCTCCTCCGAGCGTGCAAGGCAGGGAAAGACACCTGTGGGGTCTGTAGGGGGAGTGGGGGAGACGGACGGGTGCCAGGGCTGTGGCTGCCCGCAGGGCTTACTGGGACCCAGGCGGCCATGTCCGCGTTCTCCCCCTCACTCCTCTCTGGCCGCTCCCACTCCGCCCGCCCCGATCTGGGCGCTAAGAGTCCTATTTACCTCTCGAGGTCCTTGGCCTCGCACCCGCGCCGGCCCCAGCTGCTGGCCCAATTACTTATTGATCGCCTGTCAGGATGTTTGCTTTTCTGGTGGGTCACTGGAGCGTGTGTGACTGTGGAGAAGAGCCGGCTGGGGCGGGGTGGAGCGAGGCTGGAGAAGATGAGCAGGGCTGAGGGCAGGCGGGTGGACGCAGCCCTGGGGGAAACAAGCCGTGCAGGTCCCATCACACAGTGACACCCAGAGTGCTCCCCGGTTAGTCACTCAGTCAACAGCCGGGGAGTGCCTGTCAGTCCCAGGAGGCTGGCAGGTGTGAGTGCGGGTGGCACCTCCGGAGCTGTCCCAAATCTGCCCCCGGTACTGGCAGGGTGTCCTTGGACAGCCCAGACTCTCCAAGCCTCAGGTGCCTTCACAATTGACAGGGGGATGACAAGTATGGACGACCTATGGCCTTGAAAGCAGAGGGGGGGCGGGAGAGGCGGGAGAAAGACTGAGCTGGGTGTCCCCCCGGGCCTCACCTTCCTGCAGGGAGCTCTACGCAGGGCCCTGAGACTCCCCAGGGTGCTGGAGGCCAGAGTGGAGGTGCAGGGATGGTGGTCCCCACCCCAGCAGTGAGGCGCCCCAGCCCGGTCCCAGATAGACCATCCAGTCCACACCCTGCAACCTAGAGGTGGGGCTGGCCCTCCCAGCCCTACGCACCTGCTCGCTGGGTCACGGAGGGAGAAGGGCAGCGGCCACCTGGGACAGCAGGCACCAGTGGCCTCTGCACAGGGACGGGCAAGAGTAAAGGGAGGCAGCAACTACCCACCCTCTGCTCATTCCCCCTGGACCCTCTCCAGGTGGGTCTCTTGTCCCTACCACCCAAGGCCCGCATTTCTGCAGCCTCACACCCTTGGTGCTCAGCCAACCAAGAACCTCGAGGGCTGCCAGGAGCCCTGGGCTGAGGGTCTGTTCCTGCTCAGACCAGCAGCTGTGCATAGCCTAGGGCCAGGAAGAAGGGGGTCGGAACCCCAAGGTGGATGGATGGAGGCTGGATGGAGGGTCTTTTGAGGGGAAAGCTCTTGCTATGGAGACCAGAAAAAGCTGTTCAGAGCAGGGGAGTTCAATGAGGCCTTCAGCAAGCAGGGGAGGGCCACCCTGGAGGGAAGAACTGTGGGACCAAGGCCAGGCGAGCCTGAGCTGGGGCATCCATGGGACCCAGGGGATGGGAAGACTCGGAGTCCCTGGGGAGGCCAGGTGGGAGTCACAGGGGGAGACTTCAGGCCTGACTTTCTGGGCAGGTGTTCTCTCTCTCTCTCTCTCACACACACACCCCTAGCACGGAGCAGCTCTGAATCCTGAAGGTGCCTTGGGTTTGCTGACCACACATGATTCTGGGGCCGTGGGCTCCATCACGGTGCCGTGGAGCAGGGGAGCCCAGGGTCTGCACCTGGAGAAGCTCAGCGCTGGCAGCTGAAAGGGCGGGGTGCCAGCAGTCTCAGAAGCCCATGTCTGGCAGGCTGGGGTCCAGACCCTCTTCTCAGGCTTTCCCAGAAGCCTTGGTCTTGAGCCCCTTTGATCCCATATGAGCCAGGGCTGCCCGGTGGATCCGGCTTTATCCCTGCTGGGCACCAGGGGACCTGAGCCTCGGCCGGGTGCCTGCAGAGTGAAATAGGGGACCTGAGCCTCAGGGCCATGTGCCTGCGGAGTGAATGGAAGGGAGGAAAGGGCCCGTCCCTGACCTGAACCCCTCATCCCTGGGATGCTGGAAGGGTTCTGGGAAGGGTTTGAACACAGTAAGAGGCCAGAAGGGGGCCCTGTGACCTGCCCATCGGACAGGGGCCATATGCCACTTGAGCGACCCACACCGTCCTCCGCCTGTGTCCTTTTCCGTCAGGGCTGGAGGGCTCGGGCCAGGTGCCATGTGCTGCCCTCTCACTGCCGCCTGTCCTGTGCTTGCTCCCGCTGCAGGTGAGCGAGAGGATGCCGGCGGGGGCTGTGAGGAGCATGCCCAGCCCCCTCCTGGCCTGCTGGCAGCCCATCCTCCTGCTGGTGCTGGGCTCGGTGCTGTCAGGCTCAGCCACGGGCTGCCCACCGCGCTGCGAGTGCTCGGCCCAGGACCGCGCCGTGCTCTGCCACCGCAAGCGCTTCGTGGCGGTGCCCGAGGGCATCCCCACCGAGACGCGCCTGCTGGACCTGGGCAAGAACCGCATCAAGACGCTCAACCAGGACGAGTTCGCCAGCTTCCCGCACCTGGAGGAGCTGGAGCTCAACGAGAACGTGGTGAGCGCCGTGGAGCCTGGCGCCTTCAACAACCTCTTCAACCTGCGGACGCTGGGTCTGCGCAGCAACCGCCTGAAGCTCATCCCCCTGGGCGTCTTCACCGGCCTCAGCAACCTCACCAGGCTGGACATCAGCGAGAACAAGATCGTCATCCTGCTGGACTACATGTTCCAGGACCTGTACAACCTCAAGTCGCTGGAGGTCGGCGACAACGACCTCGTCTACATCTCCCACCGCGCCTTCAGCGGCCTCAACAGCCTGGAGCAGCTGACACTGGAGAAGTGCAACCTCACCTCCATCCCCACCGAGGCGCTGTCCCACCTGCACGGCCTCATCGTCCTGCGGCTGCGCCACCTCAACATCAACGCCATCCGGGACTACTCGTTCAAGAGGCTGTACCGGCTCAAGGTCCTGGAGATCTCCCACTGGCCCTACCTGGACACCATGACCCCCAACTGCCTCTACGGCCTCAACCTGACGTCCCTGTCCATCACGCACTGCAACCTGACAGCCGTGCCCTACCTGGCCGTGCGCCACCTGGTCTATCTCCGCTTCCTCAACCTCTCCTACAACCCCATCAGCGCCATCGAGGGCTCCATGCTGCACCAGCTGCTGCGGCTGCAGGAGCTGCAGCTGGTGGGCGGGCAGCTGGCCGTGGTGGAGCCTTACGCCTTCCGTGGCCTCAACTACCTGCGCGTGCTCAACGTCTCTGGCAACCAGCTGACCACCCTGGAGGAGTCGGCCTTCCACTCGGTCGGCAACCTGGAGACGCTCATCCTGGACTCCAACCCGCTGGCCTGCGACTGCCGGCTGCTGTGGGTGTTCCGGCGCCGCTGGAGGCTCAACTTCAACCGGCAGCAGCCCACATGCGCCACGCCCGAGTTCGTGCAGGGCAAGGAGTTCAAGGATTTCCCCGATGTGCTGTTGCCCAACTACTTCACCTGCCGCCGGGCCCGCATCCGGGACCGCAAGGCCCAGCAGGTGTTTGTGGATGAGGGCCACACCGTTCAGTTCGTGTGCCGGGCGGACGGCGACCCGCCTCCCGCCATCCTCTGGCTCTCGCCCCGCAAACACCTGGTCTCGGCCAAGAGCAACGGGCGGCTCACGGTCTTCCCCGACGGCACGCTGGAAGTGCGGTACGCGCAGGTGCAGGACAACGGCACGTACCTGTGCATCGCGGCCAACGCGGGCGGCAACGACTCCATGCCCGCCCACCTGCACGTGCGCAGCTACTCGCCCGACTGGCCCCACCAGCCCAACAAGACCTTCGCCTTCATCTCCAACCAGCCGGGCGAGGGGGAGGCCAACAGCACCCGCGCCACCGTGCCTTTCCCCTTCGACATCAAGACCCTCATCATCGCCACCACGATGGGCTTCATCTCCTTCCTGGGCGTCGTGCTCTTCTGCCTGGTGCTGCTGTTCCTCTGGAGCCGGGGCAAGGGCAACACCAAGCACAACATCGAGATCGAGTACGTGCCCCGCAAGTCGGACGCGGGTATCAGCTCTGCTGACGCGCCCCGCAAGTTCAACATGAAGATGATCTGAGGGCCAGCGGGGCGGGGGCCCCGGCGTGCCAGCCGGCCCTCTCCTCCCAGGCACACGCACTCTTCTGCCCCCCACCACCTGCCCCAGCCCCTTCCTCCCGGGCCGCAGTGGCCCAGGCCTCGGGGCCGACCTGCACAGGGCGCACCGACAGACTGCAGCCGCACCGAGCGCGGCAGTCGATAAGTCAATAAAAAAAAAAAAAGGTTACGAACTTCCTCTGTAACTTGGGTTTCAATAATTATGGATTTTTATGAAAACTTGAAATAATAAAAGAGAAAAAACTATGTCCTATAGCTAGTCGGAATGCACACCTTTGACGTCCTGATTGCTCCAGGGCTCTCTTCCAGCTCCGTTTCTCGGTCTTCTCTTCCTCCTCCTCTTCCTCCTTTCTCTTCTCTTCCCCTGTGGGGAGGGATCACTCAGGAAAACAGGAAAGGAGGTTCTAGCCCCACCCCCCGCCTCCCTGCCCGGGCACTGCCAGGAGCAGGCTGGGGACAGGCCCGGGCCCGGCTCTGGGCTGGCTCTTTGCAGGGAGTGGGTGGAGGGGACAGGCCTGCCCCATCGGGGTGGGGACCCATCTGCCAGGCAGCGTTTCTGCCAAGGCAGTGGGGGGCCTGGCAAGGGTGTGGCTGAGACTCTGGACAGGGACTTGGGCCCTTCTGGGGGACAGCGCAGTCCATGGAGAGAGCCAGGGCCAGAGGCAAGACTGAGACCTACCTCCGGCCCCAGCTCTGCTGTCACTTGCTGTGTGGCCTCGAGCAGGCCGGGGCCCTCCCTGGGCCTCTGCTGCCACAGCTGTACAGACAGGGCCGCCCTTCCCCGCCCGGCCTACCTCACAGGGCTGTTGTGAGGAATGAGACGATGTATGTGAAACACTGTAACCTGTAAAGCGCTGTGCACACGTGCGGGTGACTCTCCTCATTACGGTCATTGTTATCTCACTGTGGGGGGGTGGGGCTCCTCGAGGGTGGGGCTAAAGCCAGAAGCAGTGGCGGAGAGCCAGACCCACTGCCCCTGGTCTGGGAGTGCGCAGGGAGAGCACGGCTGCCCCTGCCCCCCACGAGTGCGCCGGGAAAGTGTGCGCCCAGACTGGGGGCAGGGGGGCAGTTCTGGCACTGCCCTTGAGACTGCCCAGGCCCTGCTACCCTCTTCAACTTTGCCTGTCTTCCCCGGCCCTACTGTGAGCCTGGGCTGGGCTTCCAGGGGTTCCGGAGTAGGGGCCGGGGTACACCTGCCCATGCGCTGGCCCAGAGGGTCTGGCCGCAGCAGTGACCACCTCCTAGCCCTGTCCGTTTAAGCCAGGCCAGTGCTCTGGACTCAGACCTGGATGAGAGGGGGAGGGGCTGAGCAGGTCACCTCGGACTTCCCCAGAACCCAGCCACTGAGTGGCTCCGGAAGCCCGGCCGGCCGACCCCGCCAGCTCAGTCGGGCAGGGAGGGGCACCAGGGTCGGAAGGCCTGGTTTCTCCCTTTCACGTTTCCTCTTTCTCCTTGGGGACCCCTGGACTCAGCCCTGTGGAGGACCCAGGTGACCCTGAAGCCCATGGGTACTCTGGCAGGGAGGGCTCCCCAGAGAAGCCGGCGGACACTGCCGAGAAAGCAGGGCCTGGCTGGGGTGAACACGGCTGAGCAGGGGAGCAGGCCCGCAGAAACCCCTCCAGGCGGGGCTCTTCCCAGAGCTCACAGCCCCACCCGAACTGGCACCAACCAGGTACACTTGCCTGGCACCTTCTACGCCAAGCCCCGGGGGGGCAGTCTGGCATGGAGTTGCTCACCCAGTCTGCCCCGCCCTGGCCCTGGCTGATGCTTTGCCAGCCTGCCCGTGCCCCGCCTCCCAACCACCACAGGGACTGTGCCGGCTCCGCAGAAAGCCCGAGCCCTCGGGACGATGGTTTTATCTGGGCAGAAACAGGACCTTCCCCCACAGGATCCTGGAGTCTTGCTGTGGAAAGGGTTAGGGTTCCCTGGGGCAGCCTGCACCAGTGGTCGGCAGGCACTGAAGTTGAGGCCGGGTCTGAGTTCACATTCGAGTTGTGGCACTCACCAGCCATGCGGAGGGCGCCTCAGCTGCTCCGAGCCTCAGTCCGGTCACCTTGCCTGCAGGGTAAAGATGACCTTACTCCCCGTCATCACCTGGAGGGTGAACAAGGGTGCAGGGGTTGTAGTGGACTGGCGCCACCCGGCGCTCGGCAAGCCCTCTACAGCCGGACGTGGGTGCTTACTGCTGAGCTGCTCTCGCACGGATGCAGGGGATAGGGACCAGAGGAGTGGGTGGCTTATCTAAGGTCACAGCGCCTTTATTTATTTTTTTTTTTTGAGAGTTTTTTTTTTGCTATAGGGCGTGTGTACTCACCAGAAAGACAGACATAGCCAGAAAGCGAGAAATCACCCCCCCCAGGGGGATGGTCACGCCTCAATCCCTTCTCCCTTCTCCTCTCGGGATCTTGGGAACGCACGCACACGCCCCCAGCATAAGTTTAAGCCACTGGGTCCGGGACTCGAACTGTGGTCGACTACATGGGAGTCCAGCAACATAGCCATTATGCTAACTGCTGGTCCCCGTTCACACAGCTTCTAAACGACAGGACCAGGCCTGGTTGCAATTCCCCAGTGCTCCAGGCTTCCAGACCTGGCTCGGGCTTCCCAGAGCCCCTGCTCATGCAGGAGTCCACTTTGGGGAGTGAAAGAGGCAGGCAGCAGGGCCTCCGCCATGTGAGTAGCCTGTGTCCAACTGGACACCCACGGCACCATGACGCCCAACATGCCTGCCCACCTCCCAAGATACCAAACAGGCCCTCCCTCGTCCCAGCCCTGGAAGGCCAGCTGGCTTCTCCTCCCGTGGGGTTGCACTGAACCCCTCCAGGTGCGTCAAGGTTCTGGGAAGTGCATGAGGTCAAAGGGCCACTTTATCCTGGCTGCTGGGAGGGGGCCAGCACCCTGGACACTCAAGGACACCAGCCCAGGACTGGGTGGGTTTCAGATCAGGGAGAGGCTCAGTCTAGGGATGTGAGTACTCAGACTAGGTGGCCCAAGAGGGGGAAGCCAGGCTGGAGAGGCTCCTTCCCACACGGCCCAGCAGCCATGGAAGGGTGCAGGGGGAACAGAGGCACCCTTGTCCTGGCACACACCCGGGCACCTGGACCCAGATGTGGTCTGGAGGGCCAGGGCTTCCTAGGCCCCCACATTCCCGATGGGCAGCTCCACCTGAGACCCAGCAGGGTTGGGGTCGGAGGATCAGAATGTCCTGCCAGCCCAGCCCTACAGGGAGCTGCTCTGCTTGCCTGAGCCTGGGGGCCAGGAATCCTGGCCACCTGGCCCGCTTTCCAGGAGCCCAGGATGAGAGCAGCCCAGGCGCGGGCCCCGAGCAGGCCAGCCTTAACGACAGAGTGAGCAAGTGGGGCGCCTACCCTCAGCAAGCACACAGACACCAAGGAGGCAGCACAGGGGCGGGCGAGTGTTGGAGGGAGCAGCAGGCACCAGGACCATCCCTGCTTTGCCCCTCACAAGTCAGACTACGAGCGAGGCTCAGAGCAGGGAGTGGCTTCTAGAGTCACACAGCTGAGTGGCAGGTGGACCTCGCTCAGAGCAGGGAGTGGCTTCTAGAGTCACACAGCTGAGTGGCAGGTGGACGGGTCTGGGGTAAGGCGGGAAAGAGGCCTGGAAACCAGCCTGGTCGACCCTCCGCTCTGCCAGCGAAGCCCCAGAGCTGTGTGAGGAGGCTGGCAGCAGACTCCGGGGCCCTAAACCCTGCCTGCCTGAGACAGAGGGAATGGCCACAGCCCAGGGCCCTGGAGGACAAGACCATGACCTTGGCTTTGGGAAAAGGGTCAGAGGACCAATGTAGACCCCTGGCTGGTATCAGGAGTCCCTGAGGATGTTCTATCCCCAGCTGGACAAGGGACCTTGAGCCTTCAGAGCCTGAAGGCAGGACACAGGGGTACGAAGACCTGGGCAGGACAGCCAGAGTTCAGGGGTCACTGAGGCCTTCGCAGGGCCGGGCTCCAATGTCCATCACCTTTCCTGCTGCTGTCCCAGTCGGCGTCCTCTGAAACGCCGCCTGCCCAGGACCGCATCCCCCAGCTCCAGCCTCCTTCCTGGCCTGCCTTGCTAAGGTCTCTCCAGATAAAGACAAGGTGACTGGTCACCTTCCAGCCAATGGATTGGCTGCCTTGAAGTCAAATGTCCACGCCCTTGTCCAATCGGCTGTGGCCATGGAGCTGCAGAAGGGGGGCGGGGGCTGGATCAGTTGTCTATTTGTGCGTAACAAGTGGCCCCGGCTCAGTGGTTCACATTCCTAGTTCTGCAACTTGGGCAGGGCTTGGCGAGGACGGAGGCTCGGCTGGGGGTGG